ATGGCTGGCTCACAGTCAGCTTGGTGCCCACAAGGACCCCCAGGCCCTTTTCTGCTTTCCAGCCAGTCTTGGTGCTTGTGCTGGGGCAGGATTCTTCCTCAGAGTAGAACTTTGCATGGTCTTTGTTGGACTTCATGAGGTTCCTAGGGTTCTTCCAGCCTGTCCAGGTGTGTCAGGTGCCTCTCCATCCCTGCTCAGTGGGAGAGCAGGAGGTAAAACAGCTGCTCAGCTCTTGGGGAGGTGAGTGGAGTCTCTCCTGCCCTGCCCAGCTCTGGGGGGCTGGTGGCTCCGTGCTGGGCTGCAGGCTCCTGGGGTTGGCAATTTTCTTACAGAAAAGCAGTTTTGTGGAGGTAACATCCAAGCCTCTGGGGGTTGGCCCAGGGGGATGTGACTGGGCAGAGCTGAGCTCGCTGGGAGCAGAACAGGATGTCAGAGCCATGTCTGGGAGCTGCAGGGATGCTCAGGGAGCTGGTTTTGGGGGGGAAGGGGGGGTGTCCTCTGCCCCCAGCGACCCAGGGAGCACAAGTGGGTGCAGGGCCAGCCCCACTCTGCTGCTGGCTCCCCTCTCCTGCTGGCAGCTCCTTCTGCTCAGACCCAGCTGGGCTTTCCAGGGCTTCATGTCACCACTGCTGCCCCAAAGCAGCCAGAACTCTGTGCCTGTGGGGCAGGGGAGCTGCTCATAGCAGAGCCTTGGTCAGCCAGACCATCAGCATCTCAGCAGGGGACAGTATCTCACCCAAAGCAGGGAAGGAAATTCCCAGAGCAGATGCTGAGCAGGTTCCACGTGCTGTGCCAGCTGCTCCAGGGAAGGAGGGATTCGGGCAGGGACAAGGGCAAGAGATCTGCTCTTTGCATCAGTCAGTCTTGTGCCTGCAGGCACAGAAGGACCATGGAACCAGTTAGATTGGAGAAGACCCTTCAGATCATACACCCTAGCAAGAGCAGAGCCACCTGCCCTGGGTTCTTCTGAGCAGAGGACACAGGGGGACACCAGCGTGTCCCATTTCCAGTGACAGAAATGACACAGCAACTCCAGTCTCCTCAAGGCCCAGTTCCATTAAACTGCCCCGTGAAACTCTATAGATTTTCCCAATTAAAAAAAAAACCAAACAACTCACAGGTCATTGATGGAATTCATCAGGAAATCCCCAGGGGCAGGAGTGGCCACCACACCAGGGCAGGGCAAACACCTCCACTGACACCAACAACAAGCATTTTAATCACAGAAATAATTACAAAATTCCTCTGACACTGGTAGAAAGTGGTGTTTCCAGTCACACTCACCAGCTGGAAATGATGACTGTAGAATCTCAGACTGGTTTGGGTTGGAAGGGACCTTCAAGATCATCTAGTTCCACCCCCCTGCATGGGCAGGGACACCTCCCACCAGCCCAGGCTGCTCCAAGCCCCCTCCAACCTGCCCTTCAACACTGCCAGGGATGGGGCAGCCACAGCTTCCCTGGGCAGCCTGGGCCAGGCTCTCACCACCCTCACACTAAAGAATTTCCTCATGTCTCACCTAAATCTCCCCTCTTCCAGTTTTAACCCATCACTCCTTGTCCCCTCACCACCAGCCCCTGGGGGGCCTCTGTAAACACAGCATGAAAGGCTCTTACCCAACATGGCACAGGCAGTGGTGGTCACCTTGGATCAACAAACAAACTGACCTGAAGTTGGGGGGGGGGAAGAATAATGTTGAGAAAAGAAGGTGGCATCTGAGCCCTGCTCTTCATCTCCCCTCCCCAAGGTGCTGCTGGGGGAGCAGCCAGAGCTGGAACCGTAACCGGAGCCCAGGGCAGAGGCAGCAGATGGTGGATCCAGGATATGCTGATTTTGGCTTCATACAAAAAGGGAAGAAAGGTGAAGAGGGGGATTGAATGTCCATTTGATATGGATTAAAATGCCAGGAAGTCTTTATTGAGTCAACTCGTCCAGTCATGTCCTGCCCTGCAGCAGGGGCTGGGACCTGGGGTGACCTGTGCCATCAGAAACCCAGGGGTGGGAGATGTGGTGTGGAGGCTGCTTCTGTCCCTCCCCCGAGGGACTGAAGTGCTTGGTTCTGCAATATTTATACTTAAAATCTCTTCTTTTTGCTGAAGCAGAAGAGGTTTGGGTTTGTAAGGAGCAGCACTTGCCCTGGCTGGTAGGAAAGCACCGTGGTTGGGCTGGCAGAGGGGCAGGCAGGAGGACAGGCTGCACTCCCAAAGGTGGCAACACCTGGATGTCTGCAGCTCCCACCAAGGGAAATGTCCTGCACTACTTTTTCAAGAGAGCAGCCCTTGCAGCAAGAGTTCTGTGGGACAGGGGGACAAAGGATGAACTCCCCTCTTTCCCCACGTTCCCAGGAAAGCCTTTGCTGGTTGCCTCAGCTCCTCAGTGCCAAGGTTCTCCTGTCCTTACAGAGCTATGGAGAAGGACTTTGTATAGTAAAATCAATGTGAGCTTTTCCTTTCTTCAGAAAAAAAAAGGATCTTCAAAATTCAGCTGAATAATTTTTCTGGACAGAGTAATTCAAGAAACCCAAACCTCATCCACAGAGCACTGCACTCCCCTTCCCACCAGGCAGAAGTTCCAGCAGATGGGAGTGCTGCAGGGGCACGGAGGGGACTGTCCTCCCCCCAGGAGGTGACAGGGGCAGGCTGTGGCAGCTGTCACCAAGCTGCATTTCAACAGCTCAGCTCCCAGCCCAGGCTGGCAGGAGGAGGGTGCTGGGCAGGAACTGACGTGTTCCACCCCAAATTCAGTGCAGGGGTCCCTGTGGTGGGAGCTGGGGGGGTGGGCAGCCTGCAGGAGCCTCCCCCAGTGGCAGACTCGAGGGGGTGTTGGATCCAGTGGATAAACCACCAGGAGAGGCAGAATCCAGACCCAGCCTGGTCCCCAGACTCCTGGGACCCTGCAGGTTGTGCCACATCATGTTCACCTGCCAGCAGAAGTGGATTTCTGGTTTTTCAGCCAAATCCTGAGATCAGCTTTCCCATGGGTGCTGATCACAGCCTTCCAGGAACCCTTCCAGCTTTGTCCCTGCAGCCTTCAATCCATTTTGAAGTGACAAAGACTTCTGGATACTTACACAAAAGATGTTTTAATGCCCACCACACGTAACACTGGTGAAAGCAGGACATTAGATGATGTGCCAGACTCAACATGCAGAAACAGAGACCCCCAGCAAGGGCCAGGGCAGCAGCTTGCTGAGGAAAAGGGCTTTTTTTGGTAAAGCTCATCTTAAATTCAAAGTGCAGATAAATACTTGCTTGGGTCCCTTCTGCTCCACAGGATTTCTTATCCCTAAGGTATTAAACTCTTTCCACATCTCTCCTGCTATTTGCCATTGTTGCTGGGCTTTGCCCTTTTGTTTTTAATGGCCTACACAGGGTCTGGTATCACCTCAGCTCTGGAATAGACCATGGAGTTGCTTTCTTAGTGCCTCCAAACAGGTCTTGGAAAAGGCAGATATATAAAAATATTTACCAACTATGAAGTAGCAAAAATATCTTTGGCTTGCAAATAAGTGGGGGTTTCTTTCCCTTCTTATCCCAGAAATACAGCTGAGATGCCAGAGCTAGTTTTCTTCCCATCTGAAGCTTTTCAGTGGAGGCAAATTGACCCCAAATACAGGAGCTTTGGATCAAACTCCTGCCTTTTCCATGAGGGGCTCTCAGGAAAGGGGTTTGGAAGAGAGGTCAGTTTTACAGCAGTGCCATCCATCTCGTGTCCAGCAACAAAAGTGTGGCCATTTTACTCCCAAGTACTTGATTTTATCCAAATAACACCTCCCAGCTAACCCAGCCACAGGGATTTTGATTCTCCTCCTGCAGTAACACAAGCCTTTAGCTGCTGGAACAGGCACTTCCTCAGGGAGTGTTTTATCCATCTATCTCTGACCTCCCAGCCTCTCCCACAGCTCTTTGAGCCATATTTTAATTTTAATAGAAAAGAAACTCCAGAACAGCAGCCACAAGTTTGCTGTCATTGATCAGGGCCTCCCTTTCACCAGCTGAAGTACCAGGTCCTGCTGCTTCTTCCTGTGGATCATCTGTGCAGCCACAGGCTCAGCTCAACACAATGTCAGGTAACTAAGAATCCATCATGGGTTTGGAGGGGAAAAAAAAAAGCCTAACAAATGTATTTGGTATTTGTACAGCAGATCCATGTCCCACCAGTGCCAGTGGATCCCTGTGCACAAAGACCTGGCCAGTCCTGGGGGCCCAGTGGCTGCACCACATCCAGGTCAACTCAGTCTGTCCCCCACATCATTCCCAGGGAAAAGCCACATTCCTAGAATCCCAGACTGGTTTGGTTTGGAATAGACCATCAAGATCATCCAGTCCCACCCCCCTGCATGGGCAGGGACACCTCCCACCAGCCCAGGCTGCTCCAAGCCCCATCCAACCTGCCCTTCAACACTGCCAGGGATGGGGCAGCCACAGCTTCCCTGGGCAGCCTGGGCCAGGCTCTCACCACCCTCACACTGAAGAATTTCCTCCTCATGTCCAACCTAAATCTCCCCTCTTCCAAGGTTCTCCAAGCTTTTCTCCCCCAAAACACCACCCATGCACATATTGCCATCTCCACATTAGGTCTCTCCTTTCTCTCTCAACCTTTGGTCCCCAAACAAGCCCCAAGCCAAGGACAAGCTCTTCCCACACAGTTTGGGGGTGTTTGAGGAGCAGAAACACACTCAGAGCACGAGCACAGGCTGTGCCTGGACCTCCTCCCTTCACCTGAACACCCACAGCACGGGGGCCAATTTCAAGTGCTCAGATTTAGCCCAAACAGGCACCAACAAGAGAGACTTTGGCATTAGAGGCTGATTTGAATGCAGGTCCCTAAAGGAAGGCCCCACATCTGGAAAATTAGGTCGAGAAATGGAATTTCTTCCTACAAAAATCCTGGCACTTGGATATAGAACCAGTTACCCAGCTCCAAAAACAGGGGAGCTCCCAAAAGAAGTCAGGGGAGGGAAAACAGGGGAACCTATCAAGGCCAATAGAACCCTGAAATTATGGAGCCATGACTTCTGAGGCTTTCTCTGTGGTCTCCTGCCCCTTGGCAGCAGCCATCTGAAACTGTGGCACGTAGGGCACCACAGCTTTATACTGCAGGCTCCTTTGGAGGAAGGTGTTTAAATGAGGTGGGGAGTGCTGGAGAGTACCCCCCTCTGCCAGCAGATGGGCTGTGTGGAGCTGACACAGCCCCCTGGAGCTGTCTGTCCAGAAAATGTCACTCTCTCTTTTTGCCAGGGATGTTATCCCGAGGTAGTACAGGCTCCTCTCAGGACTGTCCCCTGGGAAAGTGTCACCCTGATCTGAAGGCTCTGAAAATCCCTCTGAAGAAACAAGGGAAGGAGTCTTGCTGGGCTGCCTGCCAGGAGGATCAGGCAGCACCAGGAATGTCCCATTTCCCACCTCCCAGGAGCTACTCGAGAAGGTGCCTGGACCCAAGGAATCTTCAGCCAAGAGGCATCTATCAAAACAACTCCTTGGGTTCATCTGCTGTTCACAAAGCCCACTGGATCCAGAGTGACTGATAACAGCAGCATATTTAATATCTGTCTGCCTGGAGATGTCTCCACTGGTTCCATCATCCTGGGAGAACTCTGAGAAGCTGCTGCAGTTGAAATGGCTGCTGGAGCAAGCGGAGTCACGCTCCGAGTCCTGGGGTTTTGCAAACATGGAATCCACTGCCAAAAAGTCTGCTGTGTCTTCTTTTCTCAACACTTCAGTGACACTGATGTCTTCCAGCACTATTTCTGGTTCCAGAAGGAGAGGCTCAAACGACATGGCTTCAGGGTGCTTGATCAAGAGATGCTCAAAAGTTTCAGGCTAGAAGGAAAGAGAGATTTTCATGCTCAGCTATTATTTCACAGCTTGATCTAAGTGTGAAGCTACTGATTTGAAGGATCACAGACAAAACCCTCACAGTTCTAGGGAGAGTGTTTTGTTGCAAATCCTCCAAAGCACATTTCCTCTTTGTGTGTAGGTGAAGACTTGAGGGACCAGACAAGTAAGGACCTGCCTATGTGGGCAGGGCTGCAGAGCAAGGGTTCAGTGAGGGGCTCAGCACTCCAGCCAGTGGATCATTTCGGCTGAGATGGAAGCAGCTGAATGGTCCCATTCATAGCAAGAACAATAAAATGCAAATACCACTAAAAACACACACAAGTGCTTTGCAAGACAAAGGTCTTACAGCCTTAGGTGTCCTTGTTTTTTTCATTTAGACCATATAAGCAACAGACTTAATAATTTCCATGTCAACTAAACTAACTTTCCCTGCTAGGACTGTATTACTTAGGGGCCATTTCAGCCTTTCTGCAGTATCTTCAGAGCATTCCCACCTGCACAGCAGCTGCACGTTTCAACTCCATGAAGAGAAGCACAGGTTTATTTTGGAGAGGGAGATGCTTTGCTGTGCCTGGTGCAGATGCACCTCAAACACAGAGTGGGATGAACTGCCAGCAAAACCAGAACTCCCAGCTGCAAAGGAAAACTCACTCGAGAAACACACATTTCCTAATGAATCCAAGACAAAACAAATAGATACAAACAGATCTTGTGTGTAGCAGCAAACCAGCTCTCACAGCAGGAGAGCTGCCAAAACAACCAGGAACATGTCAAAACACTGAGACTGGGCTACAATTACAGCAAGGATGCAGTGATGTGCACATCTTCAGCTCCTGCCTCAGTCTCACCAGCTGCAGGGGTGTCTGTGCCCTGCTGGCCAAGCTGGTGAGCAGGTTTCCAGCTGCTTTCTACTTGCCCCACACAAGCCCCATCACCTTCCCACACTGAAAACAACCTGCACACCCAAATCCCTCCTAGTCTTCAAAATAATCTCCATAATTGCATTTCAAATCAAGCAGCTACTGCAAAGAGCTGTGGGCTGCTACTACACTGGAGCCATCAGGCCCTAGTAACTGACCTGCAAAGTCCCTTCCCTCTCACAGGTTGGCTCTGTCACTCCAGCCACTCTGGACCAGCCACGGGGGCATTTCCAAACAGGAGACACAGAATCATCAAATCACAGAATATGCTGAGTTGGAAGGGACCCATCCATTAGCAGGAAGATTTTGAACAACCAACAAAACTGTCACCTCCTGGTACCTCTGCCCTTCTCAACCAGCAGCTGGTTTATCCTGCACAGAGATGGTTCCTTCAAACCCTGCCTGCTCCCTGGCCCCAGAATCTGCTCTGATAAATGCAGGTGGGTGCCCCAGAAAACATGCAGATCAGGTTGCCTGCAGAGATGGAACACAGCACACAGACATGTTGCTTGGCAAAGGCCACCATCTGTCAGCTCAGGCAGCACTTCCTAGAACACCTCAGATGTTTAATCAAATACAATGCATAACCCAACGTCCTGAGGCAACACAAACCTGCCTGCCAGTTCCAGAGGGAAGCTCAGGGACACTGAATTTCCACAGAACTTGCACACCTGCTGTAAGTTGGGCACCCGTGGTGTTAAACAACAAAGCAGTTGCAGAAAACTCAGGAGAAAAGTCAATGTCACAGGTCCCCAGTTCCCAAACTCTGCTGAGCAGATGAAATGGGATCTAAAGAACCAAGGAATTCCAAGCAATGTGTTCTGACTTCCTGCTCACTCTAGGTTTTATTTGTCTCACAAGCAACAGGCTAAATCTGAGCTGAGAACCAGTTACCAAACCTAAGACAGGTTGAAGTCAAAATTCCCTTGCACTCCAGCTGCTACACACAGACCTATCAAAATGTGCTGCTGGCCCAGTTCTGCCAAGGCCAGAGTTGGACTTTCATATATATTTAATTTTACACCTTGCAAATAACCCCAGGGACATAGCAGGGTCACTGAGACATGCATGAGCATTTGCAGGATTAATACTAACTTCCCTGTGGAATATTTGAATTGTGCTCAAACAGTTTTCTCAAAATAGGATCCCTAAAGCTTTTTAAATTTTATTTACTACTTTATTCAGCAATGAAGAGGAATTTTTATTATTTTGACATTACACATACATGTAAAGGCTTGAAAGATGGGGTCTAGGTGCAAGACTCACCTGTGTTAGATGAGGTTTTTAAGCTGCTGTTCTGCTGTGAACAACATAAGGATAAAATACTCCTCTATAAATCGTAGAATCATGGAATGGGTTGGAAGGGACCTTAAAGATCATTCAGTCCCAACCCCCTGCATGGGCAGGGACACCTCCCACCAGCCCAGGCTGCTCCAAGCCCCATCCAACCTGCCCTTCAACACTGCCAGGGATGGGGCAGCCACAGCTTCCCTGGGCAACCTGGGCCAGGCTCTCACCACCCTCACACTCAAGAATTTCCTCCTAATGTCTCACCTAAATCTCCCCTCTTCCAGTTTTAATTACTCCTTGTTCTCTCCCTCCCTGCCCTTGTCAAAAGCCCCTCTCCAGTTTTCCTGGAGCCCCTTCAGGCACTGGAAGGTGCTCCAAGGTCTGCCTGAGCAAGTCTGGAACACAACACTTGCTCCTAATTTTTGTGAGGGCTTTGTAGATTTTTGACAGAGCTTCTTCCAGGATTCACTGTATTTAAACAAATCAGCATTGTCTTGAATCTGTGCTTCCTGTCTCCTGAACAGAAACAGAAACATCTCCTAACCACTCTGTCCAGGGGCCTGGGAGCTGGCCCAATGGTTCAGCCGGCATTTTTTTTTCCCAGGAATGTCCATTCTCTGTTGAAATGAAATAAAATAGAAGACGAAAAAAGAAACCTTTGCTGGGAATGTAAATTACACACTTGAAAAATCCTCTGCTGCTAGATGCTCTTTCTTTCAGCAATAACAGGCCTGAATTTAGGTTCTTGCCTCAATGATTACACTCTCAAACTCTGGGACCTTTTTTGCTGGTGCAAAATGGCCAAGTCAACATTATGAATCCTACTTGTCACAGCTCATCAGCTCTCAGGCCCCAGTTCACATGCCCACCAGGAAGGCAGTTCACCCCAGCAAAGATGTTGGCCTTTGATACACAGGTGGCAGCCCCTGAGTCCACAGGCACATCACCTACAGGGTTATGCAACCAATTAACCCTCCAAAGAGGTGTCCCTGCTCCTGGCCCACTTCACAGAGTCCAGCACTGAGCAAAGAGCAGTCAGGACCCTGGGGTGGGGGAAGAAACATCACCAGGGCAATACACACCTTCTGGAAATTAACACCTTGGGCCCAGGAGCAGTTCTTTGGGTTTGGAACATCTTCCCACACCAGCCTCTTCATTCTGAAATAGGAGGTAAATGCTGGAGTTGGTTCTGTTCATACATTCCATGCTGCTGTCATTCCCCTGTGCTATGTCAGAAAAGAAACTCTGCAGTTTTATTTATCCACAACACTATGACAATGAAACAATCACTTTGGACATTATAGATGGCCCAAGTGTCATAGAAAAAAGAAAGAGAGAAAGGAGTGACATATCAGGGGGCAGTTTTGCAAAGTACCAGAGGTGCAAGGCAGCCTGTGCTGAACATGACCCCAACCCACCTTCCATGAAACTCAGAGGGACTTTTTTCAATTGGCTTTTACTTCAGACCTTAGTTTGTGGTGGCAATTAAATGTGGAACAACCTCAAAGCAAACGTCACTTCTTAACCTGCCCACTAATCAGCAGAGGTGGGACAGGCTGAAGGGAAACTTCATCATCTGAGTGCAAGGACACCAGAGCCCAGGGGGCCTGACCTGCACACAGGAACAAGGCCATGCACTCAAGACACTTCAAATCTTGGTGCTGTATCCCAGAGAGTCTCCTGCCTTTTATACAGCACAAATAGATGTTAAAATTCATTCCCAGCCTCTCCCAGAAAGACCCTGCCCAGCAGTACAGCAGACAGGCAGCATCTAAGCTGCATCACCTTCCCCTGAACACCTTCTGGGACATTTCCTGTGCCAAGGAACAACTGACCTTTGGTGTGAAACCAGCAATGCTCCCAGCAGCAAAACTGAGGTTGAAATAACTATTGGCAGAACCATATAGATGTTGGCATTATTCCCACTTTCATATCCACCTGGAAATAGAAGGAATTTGGATAAAAATGCAGTAAAAGAATTAGTGGACAATTAGTTTGCAACAGGAAAATGACACATGGTAGAAACAACAGCTTAAAGACACAAAAAACCCCTTGATAAACAGTTTTATTGCACATCAACAAACCTTTACCTTGAGAACAGAGAAAAAGGAAGGGATTATTTTTAATACTGAGGTGACTCCTCCATCCCTGTGGGAGGTGCCCACTGCTCCCTTGCTATGAAGAAAACAAATCAGAGCATATGAAATAAAAGTCCACAAGTGGAGAATGAAGAATCCCAGGGAGCTGGGATCTCAGCTGTTAAGTCCATACTGTTGAGTATGGGAATTCAGGTCCCTCATTCAACCCATCCCACAAAGCTTTCAAATTCAAGTAACTGAAGTTAGGATCACTGGTCATAGTTCTATTACTTTATGGATCACTTTTTTCCTTTTTTTTTTTTTTTTTTAAAGATCCAGACTTCTCCTGCATTTCAGGTTTACTTTTATGAGCTCCTATTTCATGAACAACAGGGAGAAAGATCCTGTAAGTCACCTTTGGCAAACTGATCCGTCGCTCTGGACTTGCCAACTCCCCCAGCAAACACAGGGTACAGGCTGAACTGGTACTTCTCAATCAGAATAAAGTGATCTGGAAAGAGGAAATCAGCCTTCTGAATCCAAACTCTGAGCCTGCTTTTAAACAATACCCTCCACAAGAGGCTCTGGTCAAGTATCAGAGTTCAGATCAGCCCAGGGAGGGAAATAATTAAAGCCATCTTTTATAGATACATCCATTAGTAGCAGAAGATTAAAACTATTAATCTATGCTGGATAATCTAGCATTATTCTGTCATGGAATTAACACCTTTATGGAGCTACTATAAAAAATTCCTAAGATTAAAGCCAAGATGCAAATGGAATGCATGCATTAACTTAGACAATTAGCTGGTGTACTCAATATTCCAGAACTAATTTGATTGTATTGCCAAAGTATGAACAAGCTCCTGAGCTTCATTCTTCCTTAACCTGATTATTAATGCAACAGTCAATCCTCTAATGATAATCAGGAATTGTTCCACTGGTCCCTACCATAAAAGCCATCAGAAATAGTGAGGGGGAAGGAGGGATCTGAGAGCTCAGTAATTCCATGTTTTGCTGTTCCCTAACAAATTCATTTACTGTGTCACTTTTCAAGTGCACACTCACCATAAATATAATATTTCCTAATATTCGGAGGAACTCGCACCCATTTCATCTCCTCTTCTTTGTTAAGGTTCTTCCACTCAATGATAAAAGATGTTATCACATACATCTGAGGTGAAAGTGCCCACATCAAAACCACACAGGTGCTGTTCACGGGGTAGGCATGAAGAGACTGCACAGCATCCACTGGTGGGACAAGGAGAGCACAGAGTTACAGGAGCTCAGAGGTGAGAGGAGAGCTGGGGGAGCAGGGGAGCTGTCACACACACACACACAAATGACTGCTACAGTTTCAGCACTTTGCAATTTACTTGTCCAGTTCTTATCTTCTATATCACAAAGCCTTCAGTTCACATAATCAAACACATCTCTCTCTCTTAGGCCAGCAAAGCTTGGTTTACATCAGCTCTTCCAACCACTAAATAGATCAAAGAGACATTAAAAAAAAAATCCCCTGATTCTCATCTACACCTCCTTAATTACCACTTCTTAGCCAAAAAATTACCAACAACAACTAAACTGTCAACAGGCAGCTAGTAAAGCATGCATGGAGAGAGAGCCTGTAAGCTCAGTCCTATTAAATCTCTGCAAGTAATACACCAGGATCACAGTCCAGGTGGACAAAAGCTGCCCACTGCATCTGCTGCCCACCACAGGGCTTCCAGAATACCTTTGCACACAGTATCAGGGAGCACTTGATCTACAAAAATCCCTTCAAATTGGCATGAGAGCAGTAAAGTTCTAAGAACAGACTGCAGTAATGTTTCCCACAGCATGTATTTTCATATGAATTTTGGGCAGTTGAAGGATTCAGAAGCAATATAGCCTTTATTTTACTAATAAAGCAGAGTGTGGCCAAATCAACAGAGGCTGCTTAGGAAGTGGAGCCAAACCTCTGCAAACTATGTACTCTGGCAGCCCACCAGGTGAGCAGCAAGA